CATGCCCTTGACCAGAATCGAACCTGGGACCCTTTAGTCCGCAAGCCGACGCTCTATCCACTGAGCCAAACCGGTTTCGGCAAACCAGAATTTTTCAATGGAGGAGTTGAAGAAGAGAGAAGTTAGGCCTCTTCTAGGGTATACCAGAATTTTCAAAGGCATGTGTAGTTCAAAAAAACATATTTGACCATTTTATATGTTGAAGATGAAAAAACAGCTTTTGAAGTTTCCAAATATATTTAAGAAAAGCACAAGATTTTTATCTTTACCAAAAGTGGGACCTGAATTTAAATAGTCTGACAAATGCTAAATGTTTTGGTAGGTACCCAGTAAGAGTTTGCTGAAAGAAATATAGCAGGTCCAAGTCTCCTTGCTTTAACTGGACTAAATATCGAGTTGTAACAATTTTCAAAATTAAACATCTCTGATTCCTTAGCTGATAGTTCATCAAGTCTGGGCAATGGTGGATTTAGGGGCACGGAAGCTCAACAGAGGGTGGGGGCAAGGTGTTTAGTGTTTACCCTTGATCCTCACATGCAGCCATACTGTTAGGGTTAGTGACATTTCCTGGGCAGCCAAATCGTATCAGTGATGTCTTTCTGCCCTGATTTACTAATGGTCAGTTTGGACAGACTTCCTTCCAAATCTGCCTTGCAGCCAAGATTGCAATTCTCCAGTACTCACCTTGTGGACAGAGGTCACCATCCATGTGCGGTCCCTGCCTCAGTATTCCCTCCACTCAGGCTCTGGGCAGGAACCCGGAAATGAGATTCCAAGCACTCATCCCACACAAAGGCCATGCACGGGCCCATTCCCTGGGATGCCAAGCTGCCCGTCCTTAGGGCAATGACATGGTTCTAAAACCGGGCCTTGATCTACCTATTCCACAAAACACCTACTGTGTACCTACAATAGGGAAACGCACTGTGCTGATAGATTGCAGGGAAAGGCCATTTTGCCCAAGAGCCAGTTTTCTCCTCTAATTAAAATAGTAACAAAGTACATCTTTAAGGGGCGTAGGTTGGTGGTGAGCAATATTCTCAGCAATACAACCAAATAACGATGTTAGCATGTTGTGGCAGCAGTTTACAACCCTGATTTGTGACACTCCTAACCCAAACTTCTCATCTGTACCTAGTGTCCACTTCCTGAGTCCTTACAGGGGACGGAAGAGGTGATGCCCACGTGGAGCAAATGGAGTTTCCCCACCTGCCGGAGACGGTGTTGTGGAAGTTGTGGGTTGTTCTGTGACGGTGCAGATGCACCACAAAAGAGGAAGAGGAGAACGGGAGCTAGGAGATGCGTGGGCGTCCTGGTCATTGCATGCAACTCAATCTACAACAGTTCAGACCCTTTCTTAGGCATGGGACCCAGCCCTTTCCTGGCCCCCCTGGGGACCTCCTCTAGTTCCCCAGGGCTCAGAGGAACCGATGCCCGGGACCAGGTGGCGGTGCCGTGAGTCCTCTCTGGGCAGTGCTGACAGGGCTCCACCTACACACTCCCCTTCTCTCTCCTCTTCCTAACACTCTGGTCGAGAGGGTCCGGTCAGGCGCCGGGGACACTCACCGGCTCCGAGCAGCGGCAGCAGCAGTAGCAGGACAGACAGCGCCGACAGCAGGCTCGCGGGGCGCGCCATGGCCACGGTGAGGTGGGGGGGGC